CTTAAGTCAGTGTGGGTGGAATTTCCTGTTATTTCCAACTCCTAAGACTCACAATAGATACTCTCATCAATATCTGAAATGCATCTGTGAGGGACCCGCTGCCTTCTTAAAAACCCAGCAGCCTTGGGAGACACAAGGTAACATGCCTTCATGTAATTTACGATTCAGGCCAAATGAGTTTTCCAGTGGATCTCCTGAGAGGTGGTTTTGCATGGAGGGAGGAGAATGCAAGAGCTCATTGGGCCTCTGGCTAGGGAAAGAAGAGAAAGCAAAAGAAAATAAAAAGATGTGGGGTGGGGGAGAGGGGCTTTAAAGACAGACCTGCTGCTCAGAGATTTCCCAGGAGCCTCTGAGCAGGTGTTGAGATGCTTCTCCAAGGATTCCTTGGCTTTCCTTCTCAAGGGCCTCCGAATGGCACCAAAACATTATCTACACCAAGTGATTCTCTTTCAACACCTGTGATTCATAGAGCAGCACGCCGACAGCTGTGCAGGCTGTGGGGTTTGATTTTCAAGTTGTGCACCAGCTGGTGAGGCCTGTGGATGGACGTGAAACTGAACACAGGAAGGCTTTCCACTTTCCTTGAGTCTCCGCATTTCTGACAATGATTTCATGGACTCCCGAGCCGACCCAAGTCATTCTGTACTCTTTAGGGCACAAATATAAACCCAGACTTCTTTGGTGACTGGTATTATAAGGTGAACAGAAATTGCTTTACACAAAAAGGACTCCATTAGTTTAAGTTTTGGCAGTAGTGTTGTGGGATTTGAGGTCTTAAGTAGTATCATAAGTTCCTGATTTTTCTGCACGATGGTTCTGACTTCCTCTATTGTTTCTAATTCCCTGGCAAGTTCCTTTCTCAAGATGGGGTCTGGACATCCCTGGTGGTACAGTGGACTAGAATCTGCCTGCCAATGCAGGGGACATGGGTTTGATCCCTGGTCCAGGAAGATTCCACATGGTGAGGAGCAACAAATCCTGTGCACCACAACTTCTAAGCCCACAAGTTGCAACTACTGAACCCATGTGCTGCAACTATTGATGCCTGTGTGCCTAGAGTGAACAGTAGCTTCCATTTTCAGCAACTAGAGAAAGCCTGCACACAGCAACAGAGACTCAGGGCAACCAAAAATTAAAAAAAAAAAAGAAGATGGAACTTAACTCTGGCATATCCTCTCAAGGATCAGGAGTAAGAACAAATGGAGAGAATAAGTTCTCTTACAGGAGTTTCAACCAAAGTCTCAGGATTGCATCCCATCAATTGGAATTGAATACTGCATCTCCCCCTGAGCCAGTGAAAGTCTCTGGAGGGAGGCAGTGCTTTGATTGGCCACTGTGGGTCACATGGCCACTGGAAGCTGGGTTGGACACCATACTATTTAAATTGCATAGATTTAAAATAAATGAGTCATGGTTATGAAATACACAGCATGGAAACACAGTCAGTAACTATGTAACATCTTTGTGTGATGACATAGTGACCAGACTTACTGTGGTGATCATTTTGAAATATATAGAAATCAAATTACTCGGTTGTGTAACACAAACTAACCTGGTGTTGCAGGTCAATTATATTTCAAAATCAAACAAACAGAGACACAAAAGAGATCAGATTTGTGGTTATCAAAGGCATGGAGTGAGGTGAGAGGGAATTGGATGAAGGCAACCAGAGACACAGACTCCTAGCTATAAGATAAATAGGTGCTAGAGATGTAATGTACAACACGATAAATAGAAGTAACACTGCTGTATGTTACACATGAAAGTTGTTAGAAGAGAAAATCCTAAGAGTGAGCATCACAAGAAAAAAAAATTTTTTTCTATTTCTTTATGTATGTATGCCCCGTGGAGAAGCAACTCACTCCAATATTGCCTGGAGAGTCCCATGGACAGGGGAACCTGACAGGCTCAGACTGACTGAGCACACAATTATGTATCCATGTGAAGTGATGGACGTTCACTAAACTTATCATGGTCATCATTTCGTGACGTACGTTAGGTTAAATCATTATTCTGGACCCCTTAAACCTATACAGTGCTGTATATCAGTGACATCCCAATCAAACTGGAAGAAAACATTTACATAAATTTTAAAAATTAAAAAATTCAAGAATCTCATACAGTGAAGTTAAGTCATAGAGAGGAAGATAAATACCGTATATCACTTATAAGTGGCACCTAGAAAAATGGTAGAGATGAACTTACTTGCAAAGCAGAAATAGAAACGCAGATGCAGAGAACAAGCGTATGGATACCAAAAGGGCGGCTAGGATAAATCGGGAGACTGAGATTGGTGTCTACACATTACTATGTATAAAATAGGTAACTAACGAGAACCGACTGTGTCGCACAGGGAACCCCACTCAGTGCTCTGTGGTGACCTAAATGGGATGGAAGTCTAAAAGAGAGCAGATGGAGGTACACATATCACAGATTCACTTTACTGTACGGCAGAAACCAACACAATGTTGTAAAGCAACTGTGCTCCAACAAAAATTTTAAAAAATAAAGGATTTGGGGGAAAAAAAGGAAAAAAAACTTGTATGAATTTGGTGGAGGGATTTTTAGAGAATATCAGGTTATTGTTATCAGAAAAAGGACAAATGGAAGTTGCAGGACAAAGCTTCCGGTCCACTGCAGGAATCCGTAGTACTTCCTAAAAGCGGCACAAACAGGAAGAAACTCACAGTAAATGACTTACCTAATTCGTAATAAATAACCAACAAAGACTGTCTGGAATATAAAACGACACCCACAAAGTTGCAAACTGGAAGCTGGTGCAAGTTTAAGCAACAGACCTCCCCAGGGTTGTTTATGGTTTCCGTGATCTTTCTCTTCTGTACGTTCACCCTCAAGAGTTTCCTTAGTGCTGGAGAGGATCCTCAATAAATAATAAGCGAGATCGAACGGCATTTGATTTTTACAAAATTTTACGAAACTCAGGGGGCTTCCCTGGTGGCTCAGTGGTACAGAATCCAACTGCCAATATATGAGACACAGGTTTGATCCCTGGGCCGGGAAGATCCCACGTTCTGCAGAGCAACTAAGCCCCACAAATCCTGAGCCTGTGCTCTAGAGCCCGGGAATGGCAAATACTGAGCATCCGTGCTGCAGCCGCTGAAGCCCGCAGGCCCCAGAGCCCACACTCTGCAACGAGAGACGTCACCACAATGAGAAGCCCATGCACCACAACTAAAGAGCAGCCCCTGCTTGCTGCAGCTAGAGAAAGCCAGGGCACACCAACAAAGACCTAGCACAGCCAAGAATAAAATAAATAATATAATTTATATATATTTATATATATATATAAAACTTCCTCAGGAAAGACTTTAGCAAGAAGATTAAGGGGTGAGCATGCCTGGCAACCATCGAAGGGGAGAAAGTTAGGAGCTGGCGGAGCACAAGGGTGTCTGAACTGTTAGAGGAAACACGAAGTCTGCAGGGTGCTTGGAATAGAGGTGGCAAGAGGGAGCCAGAGTGAGGTCGGAGTTGAGGCAGGCATAGCCGTCTGGGCTGTACTTCCCCTGTGTTGGTAAACCCTTTGGCTTTACCTTTGCGGTGGGAGGAGGCCAGTGGATGGTTCTGAGCTAAGGACTGACATCACTAGGCCCCCACGTGAATCACCCCAGCTGCTGCACGCGGCCCCTGGGAAGCCAAGAAGGTCACTGCTTTGACCCAGGAGAGTTACGGTGGCTTGCACTGGGGTGGTGGGTGTGGGGATTGCTTGGCTCCTGGGTGTGTTTAGAAAGCACTGCCAATAGGATTTGCTGAAGGACTGGATGTGGGGAGAGAGAGAGAGAACAAGTAATATAGGATGTGCTAAGACACTGGTTTAAAGGATGTGCCAAGATACTGGTCTGAGCTGCTGGGGAGATGGAGGTGCCATGTACTGATGTGAAGGGCATTCTGGGTGGGATGTGTTGTACAATGTGTCAATCAGCTCGGTCATCTCACAGCACTGCCTTCTCTCTGAGACACTAAGGACAGGGTGCCTCTAACTTGTGGTGCCAACATCTGAAACTGGACCCAGCGCTCAGCGACGACTCAATCTGCATCTGTCCACTGCCTTCTTGTGGGTGGAAATGCTCCCTGGGGTTCACATGGGGTCAGAGAGGCCCTTCAGTCCTTGAGCAGAACAAGCAGGAAGGCTGGTGGGCTCTGACAAGTCCTGGGACCACAAGGATGGAAGTCCCCCGCCCTCCCCACTGCATCCCTCCCAGCCTGGGGCATTTGCTGGGAGGCTGGCTCAGAGGAGGTGCCAGGAAGCCTCTGTCTGCACAGTGGGTGGTGGCAGCGTGACAAACCCCTCTCCCCTGCCGACTGGCATCACACGATAAACTGCTTGGCAGAGCAAACTAGGCGCCCCCTCCCTTCCCAGGCAATGCATCACCCAAAGGGCCTTTAAGATCATTTTTGCATTCAATTTAAAAGGTGAAAGAAGCAGCCAGAGAGAAGGAAGGAGTCTTCAGCATTTAAACTAGGGACTGGGAGAGCTGGTCACCCCATCCCTAAGTCATGGAGAATCCTGCTGGTTAGCCGGGGGAGTGGAACCGGGTTGTGAATCCTCACCAATCCTCCAAAAACGCTTTGTGCTATGAAATCATCCTAGAGCGTGGCCGCATACTCGTCGACCTAGTTTCTGATGCTGCCTCCTCTCTCCTTCCCAGCCAGTGCGGTCAGTGGGGGGACAGTAAGCTCTGTTCGGATGGTGGTCCCTCATCCCTCAGCCATCCTCCCTCGGGGCGCGCAAGAAGTCACAGCATTTGGAAATAAAGATGGTCAGGAGCATCAGCGACCAGGACTAACATTCCCCACCACCCCCTAACCCCCAGCACCCCCTGAAGCACCATTCCTTCTCATCCTGGGAATGGGAGCAGCGGGATAACTAGAGTGGGATGGGGGACGGGGGGTCTCGGGGGACCCTGTGGTCCCAGCTGGTTGACCAGCATTGATGCTGACATGACAGCAGATTTCTGCAGGGACCGGGGGTGTCAACTTGCCTTAATGACATCTTCATCAGACGATCGGCACTCCACAGACTTGAGATCTGTCACTGCGCCATCCTCCTCCACCGAGACCACCTTCACGGGCACGGCCACTGTCTTCCCGGTGAGGATGGCTGTGTTCAGGATTTCCGCCTCCTGGAAGAGCAAACGTATCCCGCCATCACATCCTGATGCCTGTGCAGACCGCCTTCCCCCAGCCTCCCTGCGAAGAACCCACCCCCACTCAGGCTCAGAAAGCCCAGCATTTAGCACCAGCCGAGGGGTCACGGGAGCCCAGGTAATGTCCTCCATCACCCAGACTTCCGAGGGGTTGAATGTGATAGAGAGGAGGTATGGGATGCAGAGGGAGGGGGAGCAAATTCATCATGAATAATATTGTATTTGACAAACTTCATCATGCAACAAGAACTGTCCTAGCACTGTAGAAGTATGGACCTATGAAGTCTCACAGAATCACTAAACGTGCATTCAGATTTCCTCTACTATGCGGTTGGCACAGAGAGCTTCTGTTACTTGACACAGCTAAGAAATGGCGATAGTGGGATTAGAACCCAGGATGCTCAACCCCCGAGTCCACGTGTTCATGTTCCAATTGGTCTAAGTTCACACAAAAGGATTCCGATGGAAGCAGTCAACTGTTGGCCAGGGAACAAGATGCCTACTGTGGGGGACATAAGGAGACTGAGAGAGCTGTGGCTGTGGCTCTTGCTTTCTTTCACTTCCTGTCACTCTTCCAAGGTTATCCTGGCCTGTGTGTGTGTGTCTGGAATGCTATGATGACCCCAGTGACACCCCCAGAGCTCCATCAATGGAACACATGCACGCACGACACTCACACACACACACACACACACACACACACACTCACCCAAACATGCATTTTCCCTGCTAAACACTTCCTCCAGAGCTCAGCTCAACATGTGTCCTCTGGGACCTCCCTGTTTGCCTCTATTATTTGCTTTCAGAGCCAAGAACATGACAGCCCCTCAGAGCCCAGCAAAGAAAGGCCTGGGCTCTCCTTTGGGGCATCTGACACCACTGCAGTTTCGCTGTTCCTTATAGCTGTTCAGTCCTTTCACCCTTCTTCTAGACGGTAAGCTCTGTGGGGCTGCCTCTGCTTCCTGCTCAATAGAACCTCACCCAGAGCCCATGGAGAGCATGGAGAAGGGCCAGCAAGGAAGGAGCTGGAATCCACACTGGCATCTTCATCTCCTTGTTTTGTGTCTTAGCCTTCTGTGCCTAAGTCCCTCCTTTTTGATTTTTATTTTTTTACTGACATATAGTTGCTTTACAATGTTGTGTTATTTCTGGTACATGGCAAGGTGATTCAGATATGTTATATATATATGTGTTATATAGATATAGCTTTTCAGATTCTTTTCCATTATTGGAAACATATTCAGATATGTTATATCTATGTGTGTTATATAGATATAACTTTTCAGATTCTTTTCCATTATTGGTTATTCCAAGATACTGAATATAGTTCCCTGTGCTATACAGTAGGTCCTTGTTGTTTATCTCTTTTATATACAGTAGTGTGGAGAAGGAAATGGCAACCCACTCCAGTAATCCAGTCAGGAGAATCGCATGGACAGAAGAGCCTGGAGGGCTGCAGTTCACAGGGTTGCAAAGAGTCAGACACAGCTGAGTAACTAACACACACAGATAGTAGTGTGTACCTGTTAATCCTAAACTCCTCGTTTATCCTTCCCCTGCCTTTCTTTTTGGTAACCATAGTTTGTTTTCTATGCCTGTGAGTCTATTTCTGTTTTTGTAGGCAAGTTCATTTGAATCACTTTTTTAGATTGCACATAGAAGTGATATTATATGACATTTGTCTGCATGAGTTTTCTCTCCTTGGCAAGGGGTACCTTTTCTCTGTGTTGGGAAGATCCCCTGGAGAAGGAAAGAGCAATCCACTCCGGTATTCTTGCCTGGGAAATCCCATGGACAGAGGAGCCTGGCGGACTGCGGTCCATGGGGTCGCAAAGAGTCGGATACAATTCAGCAACTGAGCACACACGCACCTTTTCCTGGACACTGAGCAAGAATCCTCACTCTGCACTTCTGTCGCCAACAGGCCCATGCCTTCTAGGGTTACTCTTACACTCTGGCGGTTTGTGAACTGGAGAAGTCCTATGAGATGCTGTGAGCCTACTTCTCAGGTGGAGAACACTGAGCCCCAAGCAACAAGAATCTCGTTCCTCTCTGCAAGGATTGTCTCCTCTAACCACGAGAAGATCAAAATTCCCATGTAAGCCTCAATCTTTGTGCAACAAGACATTCGAGTTCTAGTCCTCGACATTCTCGGTTCAATCGCCATTCATCACATGTCGGTCATGTTCCTCAGAGGTCTTATGTCAGCATGCACAGTGAGTTTCTTCTATTCATCTGAACTTGACCAGCTGAGCCTGGGGACAGCAACAACACCATGTCTGGACGGGCCTTAGGAGCTAGTCAGGCAGCCTTTTACATCTTTTAGAGACAGGCTTGTAGAGATTCTTGTTAATTTGGTTTTCATGTGAAATCAAAAACGCCCATTTAGCCGTATGCCAGAAGAAGGCGTAGAAGTTTATCAGCTTAAAATTACATAACCATTTTCCTTATGTTAACTTTCTATTTCTTATGTAAGATTTTACTTTTCCTTTATAGGACTCAGATCGTTTTATAATTAGTTCATTTGGCTTAGCCTTTGGATATGATAATATATATATACACATACATGGATATATATGTGTGTGTATATATATACACACACATATATAAATATTCTGTTTCTTTAATTCTAAAAGACAAGACTACAGTTTGTAATGTTCCTGAATTTCAAGGACTATGCCTTAAACTGTCTGAATATGCATAGGCCTCCAAATGCCCCATTGCTTATGCACCTTTTTCCCTTCCCTGTGGGTTTCCAGTGGATTTTTATTTTATTTTGGGTATAAACATAGTAAAAGAATGAAGGAACCCAATCAGTGTGGTGTTGCTACTTCCCGCTGCCTCTGGGGAGGAAAAAGGCCAGGCATATTTTTCCACTCTAAAGGGAAGAGATCAAAAGGAACTGTTCACACTTAGAGAAGAAGTGGAAAAACACAATTTAACTCTTGGGCCCAAACTGGCTCATCTCTAAGGGAAAAAGCAGACTAGAGAAACAGCATTAGAACATCAGCTTCAGGGAAAACAATTTTTCACACCAGTGGTAGATAAGTAAAGAGCGTCTCTGCTCCAACAATAAAATGCAAAAGGCCTGCAACGCATTTGCAGTCAGGTCAGCATTGTGGGAAATGACCCTGGGCTAACCACTGGGCAGCTGTGAGCCCACAGGTCTGGGGTGTTTTCTTATCCTCTAAACAGAATGCATCAGTCCATCTGCAAGATCTCAGTGGGGATTAGAGACCAAGCTTTCAAGCCTGGCATTTTCCTGCCTCCTCTGTGTGATCCTTTGATATCAAGAAACGTCTCTTCACTCTGCTTAATATTCAGCAACAATCTAAATGAGGAAAGGGTTTGAAAAAGAACAGACACATGCATATGTATCACTGAATCACTTTGCTGTCCGCTTGAAACTAACACCTAATTAACACAGAGTTAACCAACTCTGTGTGTGTGCTCAGTTGCTGAGTCACGGTGGATTCTTTGTGACCCCATGGACTGTAGCCCACCAAGCTTCTTTGCCCATGGAGTTTCCCAGGCAAGAACACTGGAGTGGGTTTCCATTTCCCATTCCAAGTTAACTTCCCTGTGATCGAACCTGTGTCTCCTGCATCAGTAGGTAGATTCTTTACCGCTGAGCTACCTGGGAAGCCAACTTCAATGTAAAATAGAAATTAAAAAAGAAACCTAGATCTAATCCACATAATAATTCGTGGACTTCATGGTTATACAAAGCAATATATTCCCTACTGCTTTCTTTTTGCTTATTTAAAAAAAAAATGTTACTGCTGTGTTTTTTGGAATTAGTTAAGTTTGGTTCTTTCGCTTGCATTAGTAAGGTTCTGAGGGACTTCCCTGGTGGTCCAGTGGTTGAGGACCTGCTTTCCAGTGCAGGGGACAAGGGTTCGCCCTCTGGTCCGGGAAGATCCCACATGCCATGGGGGGCAACGAAGCCTGTGAGCCATCACTACTGAGCCCCTGCTCTAGATTCCTTGCTCCGCAGCAAGAGAAGCCCGAGTCCCACAGCAAAGACCCAGCATAGAAAAGAAAGAAAGAAGGAAACATAAAGAAAGTTCAGAGTAGTGCAAAAAATTTTAAAAAAAAGATGAAAAAAGAAGAGAGCCTTCTCTTGTGCATTGCTGACTTTCACCAGGAGGTGACTGGTGTGTGGATGGCTCACAAAAGTCTCTGGACAAGAAGGTGGTGGCAAATGTGCCTGAAGAAGCCTGGCGTGGGTTGAGATATGATCCCATAAAACTCTTGAAGGCTCAGTTGCTTTATTGCCGTGAGTTCCCCTTATCACAGCCCCTGAGACTCAGAAACAAAGGCAGGCATGTCTTGAGAAAGCCCTGTCTCAATTCTACTGGTAGCTCCATGCTTGTCTTCTGCCATCTGGACACTGTGTTCTTGGCAGTAAGTCCTTTCTGGGAATTGGACCACACGGCTGCAGAACTTCAGGGTCCCCAGAGGCCAGAAGAGGGCAAGAGGGGGGAAGAGATGCTGACCGTGGCACAGGAAAGGGATGACCTCGTGAGTAAGCGTACAGATCCTTTCTTGAAATGTAACTCATTATCCTCTATTGTCAGGCAACAATGACTGTCCTCGTTTTACTTGAGAAACGATGACCTGCATCTTAGTTTGGAAAGGCCCCAGAAACAGATGCTGGAATGAGGATTCAAGAGCCGTTTGTTTTTTCAGAGACTCAGGAAACTTCAAGAAGAGAGTGGGGTAGTGATATAGGCAAGAGGAGGCAGCCAACAAGGATGCATGTCCTGCCAGCGACCAGAGTTGGGGGCTGGAGCTTAATACTGCAGGGGTTAGTCCCTATGATGAAACATATTGGGTATGTTACACATTTTAATATGTTGAAATGTTTTATCATATATTTTCCTCTGGGGGAAGCTATCTAAAAGACATAGCTGAGGGGCTCCCCTGGTGGTCCAGGGGTGAAGATTCCATGCTCCCAATGGAAAGGGGCCCAG